GCAATGTTAGTGTTTTCAAATTTTTCATACGAAAAAAGAATTTTAAGTCATATATTTAGTTTTCAGATATATAATGTTATAAGTTATTAAATGGTAAGTACATAATGAAAATAAAATGTGTAACATATAAATTTAAACAAGAAATAACTTCACTAAATAATGTATCTATAGAAATATATATAAAGCATATGTCATTTAAACACTCTACTGAATATCATTAAACAACACGTTGATATTTCGGTAATTTCATGGATTTAGGCTTAACAGCAAAAAACCCTCCGGCCCAGGACAGACACTAGTGAGAGAGACTGCCGGCCTCAGCGATAAGCTCGCATTTGTGCTTCCTGTCGCGAAAGGGTTAATAGAATAAATAGCAATAAGGAAAGAACATGCAAATTGTATGAATCAGTTTGTCTGAGAGTAATAAATAACAGAACAAGTAAAGAAAATTTAACATTATACACTTAAGATAAATAAATACATATGTAATAATTCTTAACAAACTTTAAAGCACCAAATACAATTGAGCCAAAGTGTTTTAATATGTTTCTTGCTGTGCATTATCGTAAATATCAGATAAAATAAACACATTTTCATTTGAGTTGAATCCATTTCTGAAATCAATAAATTCCCGAGGGTGGTGTAATTTCAAATGACTCATCATATTTGAAGTACAACCCCCTTTAGTTGACACTTGGGCTTTACAATGATAACAAATAGTGATGTCATGGCAAAGCACATTTCCACCTTTATCCGCAGGTTGTCCAAAATATTGCCAAATAAGACTCTTGGCATTCCTTTTGGGAATAAGTTTTTCATAAACTGGGCAAAAAGCTGTAGTTCTTCTTTTCTGGGCTTTAATTCTTCCTTTATAAATCATGCCCCACATTTCTGAAAAACATAACCAAAATATTAATAAAAGAAGAAACATAGCAAATAAATCAATTTTTCTTCAAACTTGGCAGCATATTGATATATATAAGATTGTTTAAAAGCTACAACTCAGCAAATGATTAACAATAAATTGTGTCACTTTTGAGTATTTATATATTTCAAAATAAAAATAATTCAGAAATATCATTATACTCTGTACATAAAAAGTAACATCAAAAATTTCAAAATAATGAAAGGAAACAAGAAAAAAGATATTTTTTTAAGATTTCTTTTATGATGAAATATGATATTTATTACAGAGGCTTATTACAACTTTTTTTTAAATAAATAAAATAAAATTTTTTAAAAAACTTCCTACATGCAGCAATTTATTTTTTAGCAAACATTTAAATTTATATCCAAATAAAACAAATAACACAGTACCATTAAAGGTGTAGAATAATTCTAGACAAAAAATTTTTGAATAAAAATAAAATACAATATTCAAAGATTTGAATGAAACTTTGACAAATTTCACTTGATTACAATATTTATTACAAAGCAATAAATCTTTAAATATGAAACTATTATGACTCAAAAATTGATAACAGTATAAAACACTGAAAAAATCATTAACACATAAAAGAACTTACATATCATATATAATACATATCTTACATATTAAATCATATTATACCTGTTGTAAACCTGTTGTATAATATGATTTAAAATTAAAATTTTAAAAATTGATTAACAAAAAAATTAAAAACTATGAAAATCAAGATGGAGGACAGCTAGCGAACCCACACTGTACTGTAAGATACTCAGTAGCAATACAGTAGCGAAAAGCAGAGCTACACTTAGAGATGTACAATGGCATTTTGAGCCATTGGTTGCTACAATTGACAATCCTTATGATGTGTCCTATATCTCTGAAAGTTTGTCATAAAATTTCTTAGACAACCAACCAGTATGAATTTTATTCATAAATAAAATTAACAATTAAAACTCTGTTATTCAACACAATTAAATTTTTTAAATATGATTAAACTCTAATTATTCCACTTTGGGAATGCAAAAAGTGAATGATGTGAAGCTATGAACTGAATTAAATATAATAACGTTTTACAGCACAGGGTCAGAAGCAGCTATTTACTACATCTTAGACACACAATAAAGATATTAACATACACAAAGTAACAAAATCAAACATTGTTAGAAATCGTGTCTGATACAAGTTTTAAAAAAAATCAGTAAACAAATAAAAATTAAAATCTCTAGGACATCTAAAAGTGTACTGATCTAAAGATGGCAATCCTCTTGAGGAATGAATAGAATATAAAGTTAAAGGCACAGAAAGGAAAGTGAATCTAATATTCCAAATTTTAACCAAATTACACGTTCAAGATAAGGAAATTAATACGGTTAAAACTAAGAACAACATAATATTATGTCATGAAGAAAGAAGCCAACAAATGGAAAGATTTAGATGGACCCCGGAATCATAGGACTGTATTTACCAGATGAAGATAAACCATTTATCAGGTAAATACTTCGAGTGGGTGATGGAATTTCAATGCAAAAAACAGCAACTAAGACTTAGATTTAATTGATGAGAAACTCTCAGTAAAAATATATTGCATTAATGTAAACAATGTCGTTTTTCTTGTCAATGAATAAGCATTTCTGAACTACTTATATTTTTTTCTAAAGAAATTTTTAACAAAATTATCAATTATCTTATTACATAGATATTAGATCATCTAGAAAAGAACTTGTAACAATATTATCATAATATACTCAGATAATTGGAGTCAAATCAGCATAACAATGCTAAACAAAGTTAAAAATAAGTTGCAATTATTAATAAAAATTACATTATATTGTACAGTTAGGTAGATAATTATACAATAACCTTGTACAGGATATACTGTGTAACACAGAGCAGAAAATTTAAATTCAAAATATTTTCGGATTATTTTTAATTTAATGCCAAAATTTTTATTAAATTATAAAGTAGACAGGTTGCAAATATATATGAAAATCTGCACTTGGTATTCTTAGAAAATTAGATTTTCTGTATACACACAAAAATCAGGAATATTAGGACAATTATGAACCTTGCCTGGTTATACTTTATATAATGTCTCCCTTTAGGGCTTAAGTAGTAGAAGAATGGTTGAACCAAATTGTTGACTTTTAAAAAATATTACAAAATGGAACTCAGTGGCATTAAAAAGTATTATTTAATAAAAAAAATTCTTGTTATGCAAAAGAGAGGGTTAAATGAAAAGGAAATATAAGATAGTCTATCATTGCTACCAGAGCAAAATCTGTCCAAAAAGTAACACTTTTACCATTCATAATTGAGACCGGTCTACTCTATGATTAAATACATTGTTTCTCTATGCCACTCAATGCTAAAATTGTGTGTAGAGAGTATAGTGTTATAAAAAAAAAATTGTGGAATGTTTGCATGAAGTTTTGATACAGATTATTTTCTAAAAAATACTAATATAAATAGTTAAAATGCAATACAAATATCTATATCAAAATTTTAATTTTTCTTTTCATGCAACATAGTATAAATATTTATAAGAATAAATATTTGCAAGAATGAATATTCACACAATTTTTACAACAATAAAAGGTTCCTTAATAGCACTAGATAAAATTACACAAATACAAAACTTAAAAGCTATGAAAATCAAACTGCTATAAATTTTGATTTGAATATAAAATCATGATGAAAATGCATTGCACTTACATTTTAACTACAACTCTTAGATATTTTAAATTTTTCATATGTGGCAAAAATTGTGGAAAAATAATAGTTTTGTATAAATTGAATTAGAGTGAAAAATCAAATAAATTAAATAGCTTTAGATTAAATTAATGGACTTTTATAATAAACAATGATTAAATGTTTTATCTCCTAAAACATTTTCAAGAAAAAAAAATTTAAATAAAATAAACAAATATAAAACAAACTTTTATAGGAAGGATATGTACAGAAAAAAAATAATAATAATAAACTTACAATCTAAAACTTGCAACATGTCTTTCTAAGTATATTTGCCTCAATATTTAAAGTAAAGTTATAAATACTTATACTCATTTGTACACTTAATTCCAAGAAGAAAAAAATTTTCTATTTCAAATTAATCGAAAAATCCCAAAATGATTTTAATAAAAAATATAAAATTTACACAGCACAAAAAAAAAATTTAACTTTAAACTATTTTTACTCTATTTATTTTGTCTTTAAGGATTTTTAAAAAATTACTTAAATATATTCAAATTCATTCAGTAAATCAAATTACATGAGAAAGAAGTTTTGCTTTTGATTTGAAATTAGAAACAAATTATTAAATTTTGAAAAAAATTACACAAACTTAGATAACTCAAAATAAAATCTTTGGTATTTTATAATACATTGTTTCATTAAATCAAGCTTTCAACACATTGTTTGGTTAGTTGTTTCCGTATCAGATGAAATGAACATATTTCCTGAAGAATTACACCCAGTTTTTAAATCAATGAATTTTTGAGGATGGTGCAATTTCAAATGACTTATCATGTTTGATGTGGATCCTCCTTTGGCTGCAAGATGACCACCACAATGGATACAAATTGTAAAATCATTGCTGACAACATTTCCCTTCATGTCAGCTGGTTGCCCGAAATGTTGCCAGATCAGGCTTTTCCCACTCCTCTTGGGAATGACTAGGTCATATGCTGGAAAAGAGGTACCTTTTCGCTTTTGTATCTTACTATTTTTCACATTGAAAAAAATAGAGCCAAAGCACATATCTAAAACGAAAAAAGAAAGTTAATAACAATATTACAATAAAGAAAAATTGTAAGCATACTTTAGCTATAATCACATTTTTCTCTGTGGTAGTAACATTAATATTTCAATGCTTAAATCTCAATTTGAATCTCGAATCGCTAGCATAAGTAAAAAAAATATAAGTTAGAAAACAATTATACTTTCAAGTGTAATTTAATTTTTTGAAAATTCCTAATACTTTAAGTAATACTAGAATACTGCCACTAAGTAAAATCTTTCCCCAATTGTACACATTGGCAGCTACAATTTAATACAGCATGAAAAAGGCTAATAGTACAACGTTACTTAAATAAATTTTTATTTCTTTGAAACAAAATAATATACAACAATAAAATAACAAATTCTATTTACAGATGAGTCAACAAAGTTGCTAAAGTTTAGTGGAAGAATTGATTTTTTTTTTAAAAAAAGCCTCAATCTTTATGATTTTAGTGCTATAATTAGTTGCACTTTATAGATTATAAACTTATTCTGCTAATGTAACATAATTTCTCATAGTAGGAAAAATACACTTTGTAAATAGTTTACAAGTGTTGTACAAATTTAGAAGCAAAATTTTTTTAATTAACTGAAATGTTACTTGTATTTCCTCATCATGACTGTAAAATACAATATTACATAATACATTATTAAAGATGGTAAATAGTAGCATGTTCTAAGTTTCAGATACAATTAGGAAAATTTCCAGTTAAAAGCATTCTAAGCAAAAGGCATTAAATGGTAATTGGATGTTTTGGATTATAATTCTTCAAACTTATATCATAATGCAAATGCTCATAATAATATTAAACTCAATAAGATATTTTAAATAATATTTTGGAATTAGAATAAATTGATAATTGAAAATGATCTTCCTCAAATTTAACCTATCATTAATCCAATAAATCAAAATAAATAAAATAATCATAGCAGCACCTTGTTTGTGTTAGGTATACTATTTTTGTTGAAACCAAGATTTACATTCCAACAGTAATTCAACTAGTTCAATATGTTTTACACAGAATACATAATAGAATTAAAAATTATACAGGTTGAAACACATGTGAATTAAAAATATTATTCCACAAGGTAAAAGTAGCAACTAATTTGAAGAAAAGGAAGAAAACAGCAGTAGAACTCATCAGCAGAAATATTTGGGCCTTAGATCATTCCACACCTGAAAAAGCACAGATTTCTATTTAAAGATTTTCCTATTTTAACATTGTTTATTACATAAAAATAAAAGTTTCGAATAAAAACTAACTCTTTCTTATAATTTAAACAGTTGAAGTGTTCTAATAGATATCAAAATAATTAACCAACTAAAATGATATTGTACTTCCAATGATAAATAAAAACTAAACTTATTTAAATTTTGTTAAAAAAAATATTTATGTTGATTCAACCTAAATATCTTGGTATGAAATATTTCCTGTTTATAAATAAAAAATAAAACTTTACATAAATAATCTTTACCAAATACAGGTTAAAAATTAATTAAAAGAGTTAATTTAATGAACAATGTTTTTATTAAAATAGCTTTTAAGGATTTTTTTTAAATAAGACACTGATAAATAAGATATAAAGCTAAATAACTGTTAGACAATCACCAATACTTAAAGAAAAAAGATGCCCTAAGAATAAAATGAAGCTCTTGTTGACTAATTTTATTTCTTTAAACTACTTTTAGAAAAATACTCTTTTACAAGGAAATAAAATACTATATATTAAAATTATATTTTTAAAAAAAAAACATTTACATAGACATTGAGTAATAATGTAAAAAAAATAATTAAAATTATGCAGAAGCGAAACTTGAATGAAAAAAAAAACAATAGAATAAGTAACTAGATTCTCCACAAACAAATATCTTGGAACACAAATAAATATCCAAAACAAATATACTAGAATTATATTGTAGCACTATTAAAAAAATATCATAATTCTGAAATAAAATTCTAGCCAAACATTTCCAATTTTTTGAAATAATTTTCATAAAAATACTTTAATGAAGAAATAAAGTACAGTTAACTCCCAATTATCTGCGGAATTCAGTGGCTCATGAAGCACGAATTAGTAAATTCGTAGATAATCCCCAAAACGCTTAAAAAACACACATCAATGTTTTTAATATAAATTTTAATGACTATTATTAGCAATTATCTTCACATTTTCTTCCTATACATTTTTCTTTTATTTCTGTATGAAAAAGCCTGTCAATTTTTTTTTGTTTCTTGGAGTTGAAGAGGCAAGAGGCTCTCCAACCGGAGTTCATACACTATTGAAAAAAGTGAGCACAAAACAATGTTCATAACACATGAATTAGTTCTTATTAAATTTTTAAAAACAGTAACAAAACTAAAAATAAACAACCGACAATGATTCTGAAATCATGTATAGGGCCTATGAATTAGTTAAAGCACTGCTTCATTTTTTTTTCTTTCAGTGGTATAACTGTTATGTGGAGACCACTCTCATTTGTTAGTTATCAATTTTATAACTGATAAGAATTCCATGAATGTGTTACATGTTGACTAAATAAATGACTAAGCATAATTCATTCCCATTCATCATATGAAGGCAAGATGGAAAAAATTACATTTCTTTACTTGCTTTTAATATCATTGCTTTAAATAGTAACAATACAATTCAGGAGAAGAAACTGCTTTGATGGGTAAGGAATCTATTCAAAGACAGACATCATTTAACATTTGTTGTTCCACAGCTATAAATCAAGATTCATGTTGTCTTGCTCTTTATAAATGCTTCACCAATTTCACCCTTTCAATGATGTTTTTTTTTTTAGTTAGGTATCACACTTGAAGCTGCAATGGTAAAATTTAGGCGCATTATTTGATAATTGTCAACACTTGGGCCATGAATATCAATATTTGCAAGTATATTGTTCTAAAAACTCTTAAAATAGTTTCTATTCTATGAATTTATTTATTTTCAATAAATACTATGTTGTTTATCATTGCGAAAGTGTGGATGATCCGCAAAGAATCCTGCGTCCAAAGAAAAGAAAAACCGAAAGAAGGGAATATCCACCCGTGCATAATCGAGGGTTTACTGAATTATATTTTAACACATTTATAATAAAATATTTATATATAAATTGAATAATAATGTGAAAAAAATTATGCAACTAACAAAAATAGTGATTGCATATAAATATGAAACCTAAACATAAAAAAATTAGAAATTGTTAAAAAAAATTAGATAGTCCACTGTCAAATAGCTTGCTCAAGTAGAAATAACTGGAACTAAATTGAGCTTTAATTTTATTTATAACAACAGTACCTAGACTTTATTAATTCACTATTAGGTGCTTTTATCATACAAAATAAGACTGGCATATAGAAACTTAAGAGTAAAACAAAAGTCATAAAAAAGGAAGAAAAAAAACAGACTAGATGAACAGAACACAAAATATTTAATGTTTACAATATAAAAAATATTTCGCCTGTGAAGTATAATAACAAATATTTATTAAGCATCAGAAATAAATTAGACCATGCACATAAAATCCTTATAAAATGTAATTTTCTAAGATAGAATAATTAATAATTTTTGAAATTTTTCAGAACTGAAAGGGATAATATTTTTAATCAGAAATTAAGGTAAAAGTTGTGAAAAACGTTTTACACATCTTGATTATTAAAACAAATTTCATTAATGAGAGGTCCAATTGAATACAAATGCCTTTTTGACAGAATAAGAGGTTATTCCCCAGAATTATTCATTATAATTTTTTACTTAAAGATGCACTTTTTTATATGTAATTAGACTAAACTAGGCCAAAATTCGGTAACCGTACGTAACATTTGCTTTGGTGTACAATAATTTTGGTAAATAAAAATTAAGAAAAATAACCAAACAGTTTAAAATTACATTCTATTCTAATTCATAAAATATTAAATTCATAGATTGAAATTCTCTTATAACCATTTTAAATTTAAATTTAAAAAGGAAATTTTCCGATAACAAACACTAAGATTTCACAAATTAACAAAACATATCAATAACAAACACCATTTTTAAGAAATTGTGGTAAATCAAAAATTTAGAACAGCAAGTCCCATGCAAATAGCAATTCAGTTTAGTCTGACTTAAAAAATTTACATAAATATTAACTTATTAACAGCCAACAATGCTAACAAATTCTTCATGTGAGGCTTATCAGTAAAGGAAAGAAAGAAATACGATATCGATTTACGATATATTGACTGAAAAAATGATAAAAATGGTTTAACCAGCTTTAAAAACTTTCAGCACAAGAGTTCTTTTAATTCAGTCACATTTATATATCCTTATGGCTCCAAAATTTAGAGTAATAAGAACTTTATCAATATTATTATAATAAAAATTAGAAAAAGGCGACGAAAATATTTTTATACATTATCTTTCTCTGAATCATAAATTTGTTTCATGAAATTATTTTCGCTTTGCTCTAACTTTCTAGCAGTTCAAGTTAGCTGTTTTCTGTAAATGCGCCATCTAGTACTGATTTGATGAAACTGTGAAAAAAGTCAATTCTTCAAACTTTTCCTGAAACTGTATAAAAAGTCAATAGCTCAAACAGTTTACTTGTTATTCTTCATAATTGGAAAATTTTATTCAGATCAAGGACTTATTTCGTAAAAATGGTTATTTTTATTTTTTCATTTCAACATTTATTGATTTACTTGAAAAAAGGGGAAACATAAACATATACCACTCATAAACTACCACCCATACCATAATTTTCTCATATTCATATATTTTTTAAAAAAAAGTCTTGCATTATCAAAAAAAAAATCACTATATTTGACTTTAAAAATTCAACTTAGAAAATATATTTATTTTATTTATATTATATATTACATTATATATTATATTTTTGAAAACCTTTAATATAAAAAAATCTGAAAAATAGAGTTGAATTTTTAACTTATAGTTTTCTGATATCTAACAGTTGAATTGCGGAATAAAAATTCATAGACTGAATAATGTTACTCATTTTATTTATTTTTTAAATGCATATAAAAATTTATGATCATAATAAATATATAAGTTGTTCAATTTCTATGAACTCAAAATGTTTTCCAGAAAATGTCAATAACTCAACCCATTTTTAAATAAGTTTAAAACTAAGTTTCAAATTATACCGAAGGAAACAATATTAATAATTCAAACGAAGAATTCTTCGGAACATTTACTTAACTATACATTTACTTAAACTATAACTGAAAAAAAACAACATCTAGAAAAACTTTATCCTTTACTTAGTCTATAATTGAAATATTTATTCAAAAACTATTGCGCATTTGTTCTTTCAACGGATTTGCATTTTATGTTAAATGTTTGCAAACTTCAATCAAATTAACTCCTGAATGGTAACTTGGTGATAAACGCTAATTTATCCTTATCACTTGCAGTTTTCAGGGTACGTCCCCAAATTTTTATTATTTTCAGATAATTTCATTGCGTTTGATTTAAGAAAGAGAAAAATATCATTTTAACCGTTAAATCTATTCTGAATTGCTGCGATTAGAAATAAAATTATTATAAAATAAAAATTTTAAATTCTTTGTTTTATTCGTGTTTTTATTTTATTTATTCAATACACATTGCCACTACAACTTTTTTTCAGAGCATTCTTAAAAAATTAAAAATAGTGTGTGGAATTCCTCCGCGCGGAAGAAGTTAAACTTCGCAACCTGCGACTTTAATTGTAGAAGAATCAGCAGTCGTATAAGAATCACTAGTTCTATTCAACGACTCTTTTTCCTGCTCCACTCGCTTCCGTGCTCTGTAATCACGGTAATATTGTGCATTTTCCCCTCGCGAACCTCTTGAACCAGTGGAAGTGCTTGTGGTTGCCTCATCGTCTCGCCCTGGAAAATATATTTGTATTAATAATGTACATATGTGAATGCGTCATAATGTAATTTCAGAAGAGAAACAATCAATTGATATTCACAAGAGACGTAACTTGACATAACCTTAAATCCGTCTCATTGTCCGTGGGATTGTTTTCACTCATTTTTACAGTTGTTATCCACTAAGTTTGAAAATAAAAAATACTACCCTATTAAATTATATGTGTATAAAAANTTCTAATCATATGTTATTCAATAAAAATGTAGCTTTAAACGTTTAACGCAACCTTGTTGGAAGTCGCATAAGAAGTATAACTTCAAAAAACATATAATCACAATTTTGACTGAAATTGGGTGAGATGTCTCGGTGATTCGCAGTACGAGAGCTTCCAGACCTGCTTTGGAGAGGAAGAGAAAAACTAGAAACTAGAATAATCTAGATTAAAAATCAACAAAATTGCAAAAAATTCGATAATTTTTACTGATTTTTCTTACAACGTAAAGGCAAAAATTTCCCCAAAATCACGCTTTTAATTGTAAGGTGGACCGTTCATTGAAGAAATAAGAGGCATTAGAGAGGTCAGGAACTAATGAATAGGGGATATTTGCTTCAATATTTTATTGAGGAAAATTCACTTCCCATAAGTTTGTATTGGCAATTGCATATTACTTATACACATCCGCATTCGTACTGAAATTATTCCGTAATTTCCCTGTTATTACGATTAAAAAACATGGAGAAAACGTAGGATTTTTTCATTAAAGAAAACCTGCAACTGAAAGTTCGAGAAAAGCTAGGATTAAATGTTCACTAATGTCATTAATATTCAATGAAAACGATCAATAAAAAACGATCGAAAAAATTACATTTCTTAGTTGTGAACCTCTATCTTTTCAACAAAAAAGAATTGTATGCCAGCAAAAGCTTGTTATAGGCCAGGGGTGACCGTGGAGTTTAAAGCTCTACAATTTCGTGACCAATGGCATGATTGTGACAAAGTGGTCAGCACTTCGCACAGACCACCTTTACTTCCCAGGCAAGCTGGTACCCATCGATCTGGAGTTCGAACGGGATTCAAGCCACCAATGGGAATAGAACCAGTTCTTCACAATATCAGTTCAGTGCTTTTACTACTAAGCCATCACGACTCATCTTTTTAAGAATAAAAACAACAAAACTCCTTTACAATTTTCGGAAAATACTATCCTTATACTATAATCAAGCTTTTTATTTATCTAATTATTTATTTTTTCATTACGACGTGTGATAAGAGTTAATTCCTATTACGTACTTAAACACTTTAAGATTTATACGAGTGCAATTATAGTAATAATAATAAAAATAAATAAAAATTAAAAGCATGTTAAGCTTAAGAAGCTAAGATTCATTCAAATAATCTGCATAACTAGTGAAAAATAATTCGCGATCACAACGAACTAGGGGGCGTTGTTGCATAAGACGAATAACTGCGATTTCTACATGAACAGTCATTCTTTGCTCTGGAGGCGTCTTTAATGTAGTGTGTAACCTTCTTTCTTTATTATGGCTTATTAAATTTAAAAAAGAAAATTGTTTGATATTATTTCTTACGCAAGCGAAAACAAAATGGCATCTCTTATTTTTTTTTTTTTTTTTNTTTTTTTTTTTTTTTTTTTTTTTTTTTTTTTTTTTTTTTTTTTTTTTTTTTTTTAAAGAAGGAACATCCAGAACACATCGGAAAAATAATTGTAAATAAATAGAAAAAAAATATGTATCTTCTTAATAGAGTTAAAACCTAATGCCTGCGAAATCGTTTTACTAAATTTAATGATAAAGCATGAAAGGCCTAATTAAACTTTACATTCCATAGTTTTAAGAATCACATTACTTCAAACATTAAACTATGCAAGAAGTATACATAAGTCCATAATTTTACATCAGTTAATTTTGCAAAAAAAAGTTTTTTGACCATAATTTTTATCAAAAAATTTTAAGTTTCAATGAAAATCATTATTCATTAAATAAAAATTAAAATAAAAAACATATATGTTTTTTTTAATTCTTAATCAGAAGTAGAAAATCATTCTATAGAAAATAATCATCAAACAAGAAAAAAAAATTTACAAGTAAAATTTTTTATTATAAAAATTATAACAATTACCTGCTTTATAAATCGCGAGAATTCCAAAATGATATGTTCTTCGTTTGAAAACTTTATTCTCAAATAATACACTGGTGTGCAAAACTTGATCAACAAGTGGTTTTTCGGCCACAGCTCCCCAACAAAGTATAAGATAGCCATGAAATTGCATTATAATATGCACGTAATTCAGTAGAAAGATGATTTGTATGCAAATTTTAGAAATAAAACATCGTAGGTGATGTAAGTGTACGTAAACCTTGTGGGTCGGCGCTCGCTGGTCAAAGCTGTGATAAAAGGATGAAGAGCACCGTAGTTAAAGACATTCGCTGCAAGTGCAAGTGATTTGTTTTGTGAAACATGTCTTCAAGAAATCATTTAGACGACTTTACTCGAGGAAGAATGATTGGGAAGCTTGAGGAGGGGCGTAGTGTGACCAGTGTCGCCGAAGAGTTCGGGATCAACAAAAGTGTTGTTTCTCGTGCTTGGAATGCCTTTAAAACTACTGGTACAGCTGTTCGGAAGGTTGGTGGTGGCCGTCCAAGGAAAACAACACCAAGAGATGACCGTTACATTGTCCTCCAGGCGAAAAGAAACCGTTTTCAGTCAGCGAGCGCCATATCTCAGCAACTGTGCACAGCCACAGGACGACAAGTATCAAGATTTACAGTGGCCAGACGCCTCCACAAAGGTGGCTTATTTGCTAGACGTCCTGAACGCTGCATACCTTTAAAAGTTAGCCATCGGCGGCACCGTTTAGAGTGGTGCAGAGAACACGAAACCTGGACACCTCATCAATGGAGTCGCGTCCTCTTCACAGATGAGAGTCGTTTTAGTGCTACAAGCGATTCTCAACGTCAGTTGATCTGGAGAGAGGTTGGAGCTCGATTTCATCCCAATAACATCGCGGAAAGAGATCGTTACGGTGGTCCTGGAGTTGTCGTCTGGGGTGGCATTATGTTGAACGGGCGGACTGAGCTTCAGATCTTCGACCGAGGTTCTGTAACTGGAGACCGCTACTGCAATGAGGTAATCCTACCCCATGTGCGTCTGTTCCGAGGGGCCATTGGACCAGACTTCATTTTTATGGATGACAATGCCCGGCCACACCGTACTGCTAATGTTCAAGAGCTACTGGAAAGTGAAGATATCACACGAATGGATTGGCCAGCTTACTCTCCAGATCTAAATCCCATAGAGCATGTGTGGGATGCATTAGGGAGACGTCTTGCGACACGACAGTATCCTCCTGGTAACACCAATCAGCTGAAAGATGCGTTAAAGGAGGAATGGAGACGTTTACCCCAAGAACTCTTGGATAATCTGGTGCTTAGCATGGAGAGACGATGCCAAGCAACAATTATTGTAAGGGGAGGGCATATCCCATACTAGGGAACATCTGCCAGTTGCACTTACGCTTCTTCAGGCAATC